CAGTCTAACTATATATTTTACCAAAATTTGTTGCCCATTCCTATAGGAATGAATTTAACACTAGTACAAAAACTATTGCAGCACGACAAATTAAGAGTATTAAAACGTGTGAGAGATGATGGACAAAGGGTTCTAGTTACTGTACACCGCGATGCAAAAGAAATCCACCGGGTTCTTGAAAGGATAAAAAGGGATGGAGAGCATTGATAGTGCGAAACCCTTTGTGGATGGATGGTCACCAACAGCGACAGGAATTTACAACCGTATGCTACATCCTACAGTAATGTTATTCAGTCTGGCCACATTGTACTTGTGGCTGATGATAACCTCACATGTAAGACTGGGGAGAATGACTGGGTGACTTGAAAGGATTCATGAACTTTGTTTAGCATGTTAGCAGGGATGCTTAATAAAAACAAAGGAAGGAGCTGCTGAGGATATTAATTGTTTAGCAAAATAAGTAAGTTTTAATTAGAATAAATTGCTTAGGATTATAACATGGTGTGATTTCTGCTGTTTGCTTAGCTCTACTTAGTATGAGTAGCTAGATTTGCTAACTCTTTAGGCCGTGAGAAAGTTATTCTTCTTAGTAATTTTCCTAGCAGATGGTACAGTGATAGTATGGGAAAGTGTTGGATATCACATTGATGTTTTGGTAGCGTTTCTCCCAAGTCCAGGACTCTTCCCTTCTCCATGCTCTGCCAACAAGGGCAGGTGCACAAGGAATATAAACGCGAAGATACAGAAGCTCCAACCCTCGACTGAAACTGCAAATCAACAAGGTAAGAGCCTGCCTGTCTGGCCACAGAAGAAGAATCTAATCAGATGTTAGAAGATCCCACACCAAAAATCACCAGCGGGCTAAAATACACATGGACAGCATGTGAAGGGCACATGAGGGGCAGGTGTATGGATCACAAAGGTATAATTGCCTAGGGATTTCTTTGCTTAGGGTCCCTCTCTTTGGAGGCACCCAGCCCAGGCTGTTCTTGCTGCTGTACCTTCCAATTAAATTAATTGCTATATGAAATCCAACACCTGAGACTCTGCTGCGGGAAACCTAGGGTCGAGCCTGAAGAATGCGGAAGCACACCCGCGAGTAAGTGTGAATGTGTGCACGACACCATGAATGGTGTGTGAATGCTCGGGCAGCAGCTTCTCCTTTAACACTTCAGTGAAGAGATACCATCTTTTTCTGAAATGTATATTCCTGAGTGATAGACTCTATATTATTTGATCAGAAACTTAATATTCAAAAGACACGATAAACATAATTCTAGCTTCCATCAGAGTGGTTGTCCATTAGGAGAAAAAAATGAAACTTTCAGTAAATCTCCCTTTTAGGTTTTCACTCTACGTAAAGAAGACCTAACAATAAAATATGCTTTTGTCAAATCCACCTTGTAATGAATAGTTTTTACACACGAAGAAATTATGAAGCAACTTTGGAATGTCTGACAAAAGTGATTTTTTTTTTCAGGAGTAAATCATCAAGTATAACTTTATATTTTTTTGGTAAGGAAATCACTAAATAATTTCCCAATAGTTGATTTAACACCTTGCTAGATTTTAATCAGCCCCCAGTAATGGTGAAATTTAGTTTTGTTCTCCAACCAACTTAATTCGAACTCAAACTATGTTCTATGAAGTCATAAGGACCTTTTGTGTCTTCCATCCCATTCTATTTTATCCATAATTCTTGCAGAAATTAAAGCTATGTAATTGGCAATGTAACTTGATTACAGAAGGAAAATGCTGTACCCCCTTAAAGCTGGATTATTTCTCCCTCCCTCTTTTACTGAGAAACAAAAATCAAACACATTCTCTTGTCTGCTTAGTTTGACTGACAGCTTCTACAGACTGACCTAACGAACCTTTCAGCCCAAGAGCCTTCACACATGCCCTGATAAGTGGTGAACTGAAGTTTTACCTTGGGCTTTGTCACATAAGCCACCAATGACATCACTGTAGTTCCAAGGTCTCCAAAAAATCTCACTGTAAACACTTGAGGAAGATAAGCTCCTGTAGGAATGCTGTCAATAAGATTCCTCACCACCACATGTTACACTTAGAAATCTGTTCACTTTAAAATGAAAACAATCCTGACAATAACTGAACATTTTCCCCATTTCAGTGTGATATGTCTATTTTTCTTTGTAACTTAAATTTGTAGGAAAAAATGCAGAAAGGCTGACATTCCACTCCAGTAATATATTCATGGTGTTACAGGCACATAGACACTGTTGTATAATTTCATATACCTGACTTATTATTTACGCAGAATTCTCTTCAACAACAGAAGGAATACCTAATGCATTAGCAGAAAATGGAAGAAAAAAAATATAGATATCACAGAGAAAATGAGAAGGAACATAACATAGTTCTAACTTGAAGAACTCCGGTATCCTGTTTATTTTTAGACATCCATCTGGAAGAGACTGTACAGTACATATACGGCTTTTAAATAACAATATTATGATGTTATATACTTCCATAAGAAGGTAATAGAAGGTGAGCTAATGCACACACTGATAGATACACTAGTTATAATATTCCCACCAAATCTGATAGCTTGTATCACTTTCTCCTCCAAAAAAGAAATCAGGAATGGAATATGCAGAGATCTTCTACTGAGACAAACACAACAAATCGCATCAGAGGTTTTATTCCGCAGTATGTTTTGAAAAGGACTTAAAAATAACTCTTTCAAGGTTGGTGTGTTGTTCTTACAGAATATAGGTCATTCTAGGATTTGAAATTAGTTACTCAAAATATATCACTATTAGAATTGTTACTAACCTACATTATCAATATCTCACATCTGTTTTTATTCACCATTAAAAATAACTTCACCCTAAATGTAGCATGCTTTAAAATGTAAGAGTATCCAAACTGAAACAATCTAGCAGTACAGATGTATTGCAACTAACCATCACTGATAGCTTTTAAGAAGCTAGAGCAATTTTGGAACTACGTGTTACAAAGGTTAACAGCTCAGCTACATTACGGTGAGGCAATAATGCACAATTAGAGGAGCCACCTGTGCTACAGTTTCAGAAAAGTAATGGAGATACTGGCATGGAGTTGTGTAAAAAATGTTGACTGACCAAGTCTCAATATGCTCCCTGAAATTTGAAGTTGCAGGCAGCACAACAGTAGGAAATGTAATCTGACAAAGTACGTTGCCATGCAAAGTCAGACCTGTAGTCTTTTAAGCATGATTTATTATGAATGAATGGCTAAAGATGTTTTGAAGAAAGATGCAAAACATTGTTGTATAAAATTAGCCAAAAACTTGCCAATACACAAAATACAATCCTAAAATTATATTCTTAAAAATTCCTAGAAGCGTAAGAGTAGTCAAATTCAGACAAAGCTAATATTATAAAATCTATACCACAGAATTGGTAAAATTTTCTACTTATAATAAGCTATAAAGATCAAAGTATGTTTATTGGTAGCATGCCTCTAATTAGCATCATAATAATAGCAAAAGTTTAAGCATAGGAAAAAAAGTAACACAGATCATAAAGTCTTATCTATAATTAAGACTAGTTTGCTTCCTCAGCTAAACTATTCTACTTTTTCACAAACTCTTCTGTTTCATGGTATTTTCTGTTGCCTATCGACATCCATTCTTTGATCTTGTATTTGCACTAGCACTCCCCAGTTCACTAGCTTAATCATTCATTACAGTATGCCAAAAATACATTAAAAATTGCTCTTTTGCATGAAAATCTTAATAGAAACATTGAAACTTGACCAGTATCATGTAACTTACAGCATATTTGCGTCAGAAATTACTAGTGTTTGTCTAGAAACAGTCTTCTATAAAATTAAGCTAAATGAGAACTACAAAAATCACAGAATAAAAATACTGACGAACAAGTGTTTATTGTTTATTAATAATTAATACACCTAAACTGCCCAACTCTCCCCTAAACTAACCTACTGAAGGCTATGTAGAACAAAAAATAAAAACCTACAAAAAAAGTTTCTTCCCTGTTGGTGAAACTTCTGAGAAGAAAAATAGTAATACCCTCAAATTAGTCTCAGTTGGCTTACCTAAAAAAGGCATTTAATCAACTACTGAAGGTGGCCATTACAAAGACATCACCAAACCTACTATGCAATAAATCTCAACAGTGTATGCAAGGAACAAGCTGAACATAAATAAAACAAGATTTCTCTTTCTCTGCAAGAAATAAGCAAGATACTTAGCAAGATGCTGCAGAGGGGAAAAGGATGCAATAAGCAGCAATTGCCCAGGGTCTGTAATAAGCACAGTATCCAGCAAGTCTCATAATTGCTGCAGTTAGACACAACAGTGCCTATTCTAGATATTTCTGTCACCCACCTTGACATTTGCTCCTCTGTACGGGCTTCTGTTCTGTGTAGATTAAACAAGCTCATTCTCTAGAATGATTCCATCAACTGAACAATAAGTAACTCCCCCTGACTTTATAAACAAACACACAGAGTAAAATCTAAGATTTCTTAGATTTCTTTTTCCCCTTTAAACACTGTACTGACAGAATGTGATGCCATACTTAAGTATGTCATATGCTGGATACGCCCCTTTCCTAAATTAAAAGTGATGCTGGATTCTCCCTTAATGCATGCCAGTAGTCTGACTGTTTCCCTAGATAGAGGAGAACTACACAGTTCTATCTGGTTTGAATATTTCAACTTTTTTCTTTCCAGGTATTTCTCTAGACAAAAACACATTAAACTAGGAATACTGCAGAGACATTCTCATAGTTCCACTGTCATTACAATGCAACCATTCCATGCTAAGCCCCAAGAAAACGTACATGCAAATTTAATTTTAGGATTCCTAAAAGGCCGATAAAAAAAAGACACTACTTTATGCTTTTTAATTTATTTTTCTTGATACATATAGAGGACTTTTTTACTCCTTGAGCTAGTATAAAGAAAATAAAAGAAATGCCTATTGGATCTTTTGCAGACAGATGAACTTGTGTTTGCTACACTCCAGATCACTCAGGAGCCAACATAGTTGCGCTAGTGCAGTGTTTCAGACCTCCCAAAGACCTGGGAGCTGGGATCCTCCCAAAGCGCTGGGATCCTCCCAAAGCGCTGGGATCCTCCCAAAGCGCTGGGATCAGCGCTGCCTTAGCCAAATCTAAAGAGCATGTCAAAAACAGACCGTTCAGCCTGCTTCTGCCTGCAATATACTCTGGACTTATGTACAGCCTGTTGCAAGAAGAAATGACACTCTAGAGAGTCAAATAAAGGTTTGGGCTAGCCACAAAGTGAAACTGAATCATTGAATCTGCTACAAGCTTAAAAAAAAATAAGCTGCCAGAGCAAGACTGCTCTTTCAGCATACGCTGGGTGCTAGGGCATGCTAGCTTTGAAAGACAGCAGAACTATGGCATGCGTTTACTCATCTGTTAAATGATGGAAGGGGCAGTAGTGCCCACCTCCATAAAGAGCTTTCAGATTTTCAGAAAAAGACAACACAATGAATACAGAGTAATACCATCAGTACCCTTTTTTAAACCCATCACTTGTTTGACTTCAGAATAAAACACGGGGGGTGGAGAAGGAATCCATCAGACTACTATTAACAAACCTTCCCCCAGATAAGAAGTTTAAAACATTGAGAATGTACTGTAATTGAAAAATAGAAGACTATCTGAAGTACTTCTGCCCTGAAACCATAAAGTACTGTAAAAAGGTATAAAGCAGCTGCTGGAGAAAGTGGTTAAGATAAAGATGGTACAGTACGTTCAGGTCACCTTGTCTTTTTTTTTTTCTTTTGAGAAACAAGGACTTAAAATGTAAAAGTAAATAGAGAAGAGTATTAGAAAAAAGCAAAGCTGGGGGGTTACATTGTTAAATACATATTTAGTGTTCTCCTACCCATTTCTTTTGGCAGAGCTTTTCTATCATTTTTAGGAATTTTTTCAACCTCTTTCTCCAACTGGGACTGCTGGCCTCTACCTGTCCCTCTGTTGTTGGACTCCCTAGCTTAGATCCTTAATTTAACCCATCACAGATCATTAAACTAAAAAGATCAGTAAAGTGTAAAATGTTATGGTGATATAGAGAAACAGAGATTCTGGCTTCTCACACAATGACAAAACTGCCTAACTCCTAATACATGGCCACTGCTAAGATAGTGTCAGTACTTTGTAACTAAATATTATTGTTTTGAGTATGCTGAGCAGAGATTCTCATTTTCTCCTGATCATGCAACAAGAAAATTAGAATTCCCATGATTTGTTTTGTTACATCATAACCCGTAGGGTGAATATAGTTTTTGCAGAAAGTAAACTATTTAAGTTATTACAGTCAAGATGACAAATACTAGTAAAAAACCTTGCACAGTCTCTCCACGCTCAGGTTAGAGGACTGTCCGTTCTACACTATGTGCCTAGAACAGGATGGAAGAGAAAGCATCCCTATCTGCAAAATAACCATTTTGACCTAAAGTCAGTTAAATTAATCTGCTACCAAGTCATACACTGCAACAGCGATTTTCATCTCTTTCCTTTCCTTTACATTCATTATGTATATATATATTAAAATATTAAAGCCAATGTGCATTACCTCAGTAAACACTAATGTGATAGAAAATTTTTCCAATAGAAGTGTTTCAAAATAATTGCATGATAACAGTGTCAGCACTGACAAAGAAAAATCAAATGTCCAAAAGGCTCACAAAGTAAGTGAGCCTTGCATATCATTCATTACTACTCAGGTAGTTCGTAAATGAATGCATGAATATCTTTTGCCTGTGTGTAAAAGTAGTTTCTCTAACTTCAGCTACCAGATACAGGTGTAGCCAAAACTCAGCTATCCATCTGTAGAAATATAGGCCTTAACATCTAGCAAAACATACCTCATTAAAATAGAATCGTTTTCTGATTCAGTATGAATTTTAATAAATAAATAAATCGGAACTGTGGGTGACTTCCAACTCATACAAAATTGTACCACATGAATCTCTGAGCCTCCTTCTGTACCACACCACTTGAGAAGCTGGTTACTATGAACAATTTCCTGGTTCTCAGATAAGCTTTGTTTTAGTTCTTAAAACCTACTTCACAACATGGGACATTCAAAAAGGCTTTTGGAATTCTAAAGGCTTTTAAGAGCTTCCACAGCAATTGTGCCAAGCCAACTCCCAGAAAAAGAAACTCCATAATACACACTCTGTATGAACTCCATAGCTGTTCTGGGTACCTGCAGAGTCCTATGATGAGACAGACAAAACAGCTTTAAGGAAAGCCATGTAACAGTTTCAATGTCTGAAGCAACTGGCACAGTCTGGCAACTGGCTGGCATAAGCTCAGATATTTTATGTCGCAACTTACAGATGTCATGAGGTTCCAGAATAATCCTCAGTACTTCCATGTAATTCTCATCATTAATGGGCAATGTGTTTTCACTTCAAAGGGAAATATGCACTCTGCTATGTCTTAAGTGACAAAAAATCAGAACTTAATTTTGGGATCTTAGGACAATTTGATGAGTAAAGTAACACCAGTGTTTATATTTTTAAATGCTACAACTTGAAAAATGTCCTGATACTTTCAGTGTAAAATTTTACATAATTCTTTTCCAGAAGAACTTCTAGAGAATACTTTTCATACTACACTGAAATGCAGTTTGAAGCACTTACACTAATAAAAGCAAGGGGCACATAACTCTCCTTAGCCTTGTGTAAGTTATTAAATGCTTTAGATGAATGACAAACTCAGATGTAATTAGTAACAATTATATAGCACCATCTTTTTGAAGGACATTTTTAAGAATGTGTGTATGCCACTGCCATTTCATGGCATATTTATTAAAATAAAATTCTTGTCTCAAAAAAACCAAACGCGTAATGGCACGTAACAACTTTGAATTAACAGCAATATATGCCAAGTCTAGAGTTCACAATACGACTTCCCTATGTCTGTCTAGTTTACCAAAGATTCGTAAGTACTTTACACACTACGTCAAAATGGGAACAGTCTCACATACACTGAATACCAAGATCAGAGAATTCATTTGAAAGACAACTAATCAATCTTCAACACTTGCTCTAGAGAACAGTTATTAACACAATGAGACAGGTGAAAACAATTATTCAAATGCATACAATACTTGAATTTTTATCTTTATGTCCATACACTTATGGTCATGAGGTGTTTTCAGAGCCTCTTCATTCCCTTCACGCTGAAGGGTGCTGTCCACCTAAAAAAGCTGGAGAATCTAGTCTAAGCAGGCTGGAGGTTCAAGTCCGCTTTTATTCCTCTTCCCCCTTCTTTTTTCACCACTTCTCCCTCACCCTGCTTGTTAGTAGAATTCCTCAGAAATGCCAAGTAAAACCTTTGCATACTGCAGCTGTTGCTTTCATGCTAAGCCACCAGAATAATATATTATCTACTATTATTCCTTTAATTACAAAAATCATAAGCCAAAATGCATACACAGTAAAAACAGATTACACCACAAATACCTATTTTTAAATAGCTTTGGGACTGTTTACGGAGCTCTCTGGACTTAAGTAATTTGCTAAGACTTGATTTGAATTGTACTATAAATAGGTTTCCCTTATACAACACATTTATATTTAGCAATAAAAACAAACTTAAATCTCACAATAATGCCTTGATGGCTAAAGCAGTAAATTTATTATTGGCGATCCTGGTTTAGCTCTTGTTATTATAGTTGTGGTAATTTCGAAGCACTTAGATCATACGTTTAAGTCTCATTAGTCCTTGAATCCTGACTGTAAGCAAAAAACCTCAATACTTAACAATAAAGATGATGACACACTTCAACAGAAGGATAGCAAACAACGCTACTCGTACACCATTTTAGTTAAGCACAAATCACGATCTCTTAAAAGTGCACCTACCACATTTTTGGATTTTAACACTGATAAATCTCCTCATCAATTCACAGACAGATGTAAGCACACCAAAAACCAGTTTATTTACAAAACTGCCATGTACAAAATTATTCACAATGCTTTCAGTATAGCAGATAAGCTTTGACTGAAGATTTTTATTTGATTGTGTTTTAGGTAAATAAGGATTGGGCACCCAGAAACCTAACTAACTCTCAGGACTTTACGTAATAAAATCAATGGAAAGGTAAACATAGAAGTCAGCCTTTAATTTTACGCATCTATGTCTTCAAGCAGAAGACACAAAATTCCTAAAGCTTTAACCTTTTTATTAGAATTCTAATCAACTTCGATATAAAATATGCACCTGCTTTTTTTAAATTAAAAAGCGTATTTTAAATTAAAGAAAGTGTCTGAACACCATCTGAAAATTATCAAAAGTCATTAAAAAGCAGTAATATTCCATTGCCTCAACTCCTTTTTCTTACAAAAGTTAAACAAATGGTGGCCGCACTTCAGATGGCTTGCATAAAAGATTCAAATTAGATGTCGAAACTCAACAAGGGAGGTTCATTCTTTCTCTTTTTCTCTCAAGACAGAGACAGTAATGACAGTGTGGCAACTCTCAAAATAAAATTCAGAAGTTCCTAAATTGTGCCCATTAGCCATCTCACTGTACTGATTTGATTTTGATAGATGGATTAAAAAATAACCCAAACTTGTGTACTAATAGACCCCATTAAATACTTGATAAATATACTTTACACTGAAATCTAAAGCAGAAAGAACCTGCACACGTGTTCCTCATAGCAAAAAGCTACAGAAATAAGAGCACATATTACCATTGCAGCTGCAACAGTTTGGATATATAGGAGAGGACACTAGTTATGAACATTTCTGAAAAAAATTAAACGTAAATTCCATGGCAAAAAAAAATAGCAGCTTAACAGAAAGAACCCTAACAGAATAGTTAGCTCTCTGCAGAAATGTGCTTAAATTAATATTAGCAAGAAAATATTCCTGAATCAGTCTTCTTCAATAAATACCATACCCCAGGGTCAGAAAAAAGGTTGAGGATAATTGGTGCAACAGTAGTGCTGGACACACATTTTAAACTGGTACCCTGTGATGAATGCCACCTAATACCTTTCTTTACTATACTTTCTTTCCTATATCAGAAAACTTGCAAAAAGCAAGTATATTTTTGGAAGATGAAGCAACATTTCTAGAAACTGATTTCTAATTATTATTTTATAGCCTCTATAACCAAAGCAATCTACTGAAAGGACAAACTCTATACCTAAAATCCAGTAGCTAGAAATAATGAAGATATAGTAATAAGCTTAGGTAAGAGAAACCACACAGAAACTTTATCACAGTGAGAAGTCTACATAACAAAGAATACATGAGAGGCCAATGAAAATGAAAAACTGGGGGAGGAGAACAGGATTTTTTTATTATTACTTCCAAGACCTGAAAACAGAGACTTATACTGGAAAAGTCTGGAGTTACAATGCAACCCGTTCAAGTTTAGCTTTTCATTTACAGGCTTAGCAAACAAACATAAACAATGCAGTTAAACATATTTTAAACAAGTTCTACTTTTCCAAACCTATCTGTACATATCACCAACATTTTTCTGCCCACAAGGATATTGAGTAGCTCCCCTGTGTAGGGCTGCCATTCTAGATGAGCAGAGCACCATTCCCTTCATTTCTCCATCTCTTACTCCATAGGTCTGTCTCTTATTCTTTAAATATTTTAAAGACTTGACCATGCAAGCACAAATAAGGTACACCAGTAACCTCTGTAAAGAAGGCTAAATGATCAGGTGTCTTTGGTAGAATGACACTTTTCTGGGGTAGTTGTAAGCCTACAGTAATTGGAGCTCTGGTGTGCAAATGAAATGATCCCTCCTAAGGCCAACCTACTCACCTAAAGCTAGCAGTGAACACATGCCATGGCAGAGGTTTTTCTTTTGGAAAGTTGCAGGATTTTTTTTCCTTTTCAGCCAAACTGATCAAGAATGCCACTAGCAATGATGCTACACGTTGCTCCTTTGAGTTAAATTTACTCTGTGAAACCACTGGGAGAAAATACAACAAAAGCCAAGTTTTCATGGACTATTGGTTGTAACCGTTGAGAGGGTTGTAGCCTTCTATAGTTTTCATTTTCACCCTGAGCAGGTGCAAACAGAATAAGCAAGTTTGCAACAAGACAGATCTAGAGCACATACATGAAAATCTACACAAGTGAATTTACTGTATTGCTGAGCTTTTTTTTTTTTTTTTTGAGGCATTTTCTAAAGTTGGGGGTGGGGGGGTTGAGTTTGTTTTGGTTTTAGGTAGGCTTTCTGTATGGGTTACTTGTTACTAAGTAATGAATAAAACTGCAAAAAGCAAGCAAGCTAAAGACATTTTTTCTCCTCACCAGATTTAAACTACCAGCCACAAATGATACACAAAAATGAAATCTCTGTCCAAACAGGCAGAAAACAACAATTTTTCTTCTCAGATCATGACAGCTACCAACAAAGTAGCTCACACTCAAAACTTTGCTGTACAAGTCTAACTTTCAAAATAGCATCACCTATCTTGTTTTCCTATGTGTTAAGAATACATGCTGATTACAGAGAGCGCAGCAAGCTATCAATAATGTATAGGAAACTCCTACATGGCACACCACATGTGACAGTACTATACCACTTGCTATATGCTTGCCAGTCATAAGGACCCAAGCAAGCCCAGAAATGCCCCCAACTTCTCCTTTCCATATCTTTTATTTACTTTTACTTCCTTCCGCTGAGCCATACGAGGCATGGAGTTAACAGTTTACTAAAATCTCACTGGATGAGAAAGTCTATTGATGATACCAATGAGAAAACTGTCACTGTCCCTTCCATTTTTTAAGGAGAGATATAGAAGTTTGTAAACATGGTCCCTGCTTTTTTAATGCTATAGTTCACTGCTTAGAGATGTCATAGCCATATTTTTAAGTGTCTTCTGTTGGTAGACAAGTTATTGACTAGATGTCAGGTATGTTCCTAAGTCACATGAGAAAATTTACATAACAGTTTAAATCAGATACTTGACTGGGACTAAAATGTATTGCCGCTTGTCTAAATTTTCAGTTACCCCCTGCAAACTTCACATAATGGTCCTATCTGTTTATGGGAAAACTAACGGTTGCCCAGACCTTCGAAATGGATTACCTAGATGTTTTCTCCCAGGAAGTTGCCCAAAGACATTTAACTCCTTAAATTTAAAAGCCAGACCCCACTTAAATATGAAATTTCAAACACACAGAAGTCAAAGTGAGTATATGAAACAAAAGAGAAATAAAAGGGATTTTTAATTAGCCCCCATTAGCCCTCTATTTTCAATTAGCCCTCTGCCCCCTATTTTTGCAGAGGAGTCACCAGTTTTGGACCTGGATTCAGTAATCTCCGTGGCTTTCTCAGCTGCAGCAGATTTTGCACAATCTCCTCTGGTCCCTGGGAAGCTTTTCTTTGTCACCGCCGGGTGACAAATCTCTCCTCAAGCCATAACACACAGAGACCATCTCTCACATTGATATTTCTCAAGATACATATGAAAAATACATTTTGATCGAGGAATTCTTTCAGTTCTGATCTGAGAGCAGAAACAAGCTCTGAATTAAGAATGACACTGGAACTGTAGCAGAATTCATTTCCTAGTATGAACAAATTATGTAACTTATTTTTATTTTTTCAGGCATATGGCAAATTAAAAGTAATTATATACCATATTTTCTAGCTAGATTAAAGAGGGTAGTAGAATTTGCCTTTACTCCTCTGTTCCTCTGAAAAAAAAAACCAAGCTGCATCTAACATGAATCTAACCCTAGCTCATTGACAATGAGGTAGATATACATGGCTTATTTATAAAATAACACGACTCCATTTTGCCAAACCTTTAGCAGCACATATCCAACATGAGCTTTTGTTTTTATGCCAAATAAAGATAATTTTTCACCTGTAAAGTTTGAAGACTGTATTTTTTACTTTAAGACATGTTTTAAATAAAAAAAGTGCAAAATATAGTATACTACCATGAGCTTTGATGCAAAGTACATGCAGAGTAAATGCAGTTCACAAACTGTATACAACTGGCATATCATAAGCAGAGGAGAAGTGACTAGAGGAAGCACTGCAGTTGCCTCGTCTTCTCTCAAATTTTCTCAAAACCAAATTTGCAGGAAGAAATAATGGTTAATACTAAACCAGTAAGCCAGACTAAATTCAGTAGAATACTATGGTCTCCCTCAAGAAAGTAAAGCCACTTTATCGTAATTTGGCTTTTATGACTACACACACTATAGCTTCCAACCAAATCAGAACATATCTAAGACCAGTGCTTGAAAAAAACTATCAGACCATGCCCAAACTCTTAGTGGAGTAAAAAGCTGGGTTTTTTTCGCATCGCCACCTACAAAAAATTAGTTATGGTTTTAAAGATTAAGACAAGCATACTTTGTGCAACAGTGTTTTAAATGCCATTTCAAACACAACAGGAACCCTTGTCATATCTTACAGCCCAGTTATCTGAAGACAGAGCTATTAAGTTAAAAAAAATCCGTGATCACAAAGAGCATGCTGAGTTTTCACAGTAGGTCAGTGACCAACAGGAGTTCCACAGTTTTCAGTGAAAACTGTTGGTAAATCTTTGCAAAACAATTTTTGCCCACTCAGTTCATAACTAGAAGTTTTTAGAAGTTTTTTACCTTGTCCTCTTGGTGTTCGTTTCCTGCGATCTCTGAATGCTGCTCCTGACTGCAAAGCCTCAAGCAGACTATCCATCACTCCAGTCTCATCACCCTCTGAGAAGAGGAGAAAAATAATATTAATCTCAGTGCAACTGAAATCAGACTTTGGAAAGAAAAAAGTAAAAGTGTTGTCAAGTTTACATAATGCTTCCAAATAAGAGATGTATATATTTTAATGTAATGGATGCTGTCAGTGCTTCAGGTATCACTGTCTAGTTTGCGTATGATGCTCTATTAAGCAAAATTGATGCCAATCCTACTGTTCTTTTAACTTTGAGATGTTATCTTGTGCATTATTGATGACATCTTCAGCATGCAGATAGACAGCTGCTAGTGAATGACTGCTGTTTCACTGCTAAATTCTTTTAAGGCTTTCCTGAAGTAGAAACAGGTCATCTCTTTTGATTTAATCAACATACATGGAAAAAGCTGATGAAATTGAACAGCACAAAGTTAAATATTTGCAATACTGCAAATATTTTATATGTTGCCTCCCATCCTCACCACGCATTTAAATCCTTGGAAAAAAAATATTATCTATACAACATGCAAGGATACATAAGCCATATGCTACACATGGAACAGTACACCATGGATGACCTTAAGGTAAGAAAGAACAAAGAGGGCAGAACCATGCAGTGAAAGTAGGTGGCACAACATTTCTTAAAAGCTGAATTCTACTTCTGCTAAATCTTTCTCTTGCTTTTTTCATATCCAAGCTAACCTGTAGCCTTTAAATTGCTGGACTTTATAATGCATTATGGTAATCTGGGTAGAGTGATTAATTCCTTTTTTTTTTTATGTATTTAAGTCTTTGACTTCCTTTGCGTTTCAGTCTGTTAATAACAGTTGATAGCAGCATTCAACTGCATATGAAACAGAGGTCAAACAACTGCAATGTTACAAAACTATTGATGAATGCCTCTTTTTCTGCTCCCGTCTGAGTTATAGCCCAAAACTAAAATATAGACTAGACTAAGCAAGTAGGTGGACATTTTATTCACATCTCTCAGACTTCAAGTTAATAGAAATTTCCCCATCAGAGTGGGAAGATAATTACTTTATGCAAGAGATTTACATTACAGTAAAACACTTCTGAGTCACACAAAGTGTAGGAGGTTAAATGTACATGAAAGCTCTCAAACGTTCAAGTTTAAAAGCAGCTTATTAATGCAAAAGGTATTCTGCCTTGGTTCTCTATTACATTTAGATTCATTAGACTAAATCCAGACCTGATATAAGACCACACTAATCCTAAAACATTACTCGGTTCAAATTTCTACATGATGATCAATGTAACCACTTGATACATTTAAATTATACATCAATGTAATTTAAACCATTATGTATAATATACAACACATACATAAAGTTCTCTCCAGTGTAAGATGAAAGGGAGCAGAGCAAGAAGAGCAATCAGCAGAAGACTCCGAAATACCAGTTTTAATTACATTCCATCTAAAACCCTTAAACTAAGCTCCTGCAAAATAAATAAGTAAATTAGCTTCTCTCGATTCACAGTCAAATATACTAGGCCAGAACCTTTCCTAAAGCATACAACTTAATTATTTTCCTTTGTGCTCCTTATCCTACACATGCTTATTCATTGATTTATTGTTGGCTCTGTATTAAATTTATTTTCTACATCAAAGGTCTGTGAAAACACTTTGTCCAAACTAATACACACCAAGTTGGTCTGAAACATTTAATGAATGCAGCTGTAATACACAGAATTAGTTAACATGTTAGAATATTTTATGTATAGAAAAAAATTCATTCAATCTTCATTAAAAATAAGAGTTGGCAATGTTTATTCAAAAAGGCAAAAATCCTCCAATACTTCATACATGTTTATGAAGCCTTCTACTTCTTTTTTTGCTGAGTGTGCTATCTACCTGCTAATTACCGCAACTGCTAAAAAACACCTTATTTTTGGAATATCAAAATATACAATATAAAGACGCATGAATTAAGGAAGCTGTAGAACACAGTGATGAGATTTTTAACTCCTCAAAGTAAAATTTATGCTACATCTGATCTCAGCACTGCATCTTAATCAAAGTCGTCAGGTGATTAAGTGGGAACTGGGCAAAGAACTGCATTTTCAGATACCCTTCATTAACATTCCTAAATAAAATTCAACATAAACTTCAGGCTTTCCCCATAGTTCTTGCTGAGTTACTTCACATATTACCAGCTCTATCCTTGATTTGCAACCCCCCCCCCTTTTTTATATACTACCTATAGCAACTTGTGGACATAAATCAGAAACAAAGACAAAAAATTATTAGAAGTTTCCAAACTGAGCAACGGAAATTGTCAGTGGAAATAAAATACTTAATGCTTATTTCTGCTTTAGATCTCTTCCACTGTACACAAGGATAGAAGTTTCACCTGGAACAACTAATTCTCTTCCTGTTTCCTTCTTTTCCAAGTTGGTCCCAACCATTAAAGAGACACCAAATGTATGCACATGTGCAAAAAAAATTGCAAGCTGTTTCCATCTTATGACTGGCTCTATGAGACTTTGATCAGCCTTAGCAAAGAGCCAGATTCTCTATAGGTATTAAAACAGAACTGAAAAGGCAAAAAAAATCGTAATTGTTATTTGATGCGTTAACTACAAGTCCAATTTGTTTTCATTTGGATTTCACGCTAATATTCTATTGCATAGTTGGTTTAGCACATACAGTCTGTTTTGAAAATGCCTGTGTATTTAGGAGGTTACAGTAAGACTCATCCTCTCACAGGTCCCACAACTCAGACCAGTGTTAGTCAACAGATTTTGGCCACTTTCAATGATAACAATGAAGACAAAAAGAACTTTCTTCTTCCATAGAACAATATTATTGCTTCTTACACTGCTGAAGAGCTCCAAGCAAGCCAAGAGACACAGACAGAGAAAAAAAGATATGATACAATGAACAAATAAAGTCACATTTGAGATGAGTGGGCAATCCTAATATCAAGACACCTAAACCTTTCATAATTTTTGACTAGTTATAGGAAACAAAACAGAAGAAGGTAAAAAGAAAAATCCACTTATTAATGCTGAAGAATAGTCACATCATGCATCTATACACAAATTTGCTGTGTATAAAAGCAATACAGTGGATTTTACACTTCGCTTTTATAAAAAACAACAGAATTTAGATAAACTGGTCATAACAAACATTTAGTATCTGTGGTCAGATTTTCATGTTAAATGACATCCTGAACATTTGTACTCTGGAACTAGACTGTCAATTTCAAAAAAGGAGACCTTTGATAGATCATAAGAGATTAAATCAGAAACTGAAGATCTGGATGTACAAAAGGCTGGGGGGTGAAGGGTGAAAGACAGTATCGCAAACAGAACAGTGACTATTACTAGAGATGTATAATAATCCCAACATAGTCAATCTGAGTGAACTTTTCATTTTAACGTTAATGCACATAAATAGTACTACCCCTTGGAAAAAAGACAAGATAGATAAATAACCACAGATGACTAATGCCAAATCAGCTAATACAAAGTTCTCTCTGCCGATGTGGAAGGAAATTGCAAATCTCTATGAAATTAACGTACCGTTTGAAATGGCCAAATACTTATTATCATCATTATTACTACTATCATTATTATTACAGAATAGCAAATGTGGAATTTGTTTACAAGAAAAAAATCAAAACATTACCTGGGGACAAAAGTATGATAGTCTTCACCTGGCAGTATGAAAGGCCTTTCAAACCAATTTTGCAGACAACAGAACACAAGACTGAGATTATGTTTCTGTCAAAGATATTAGACTAAATTTATGGCTTAAGGTTTCTGTTAATGCAATACACTGCACTTCATTTGGCTAGAAAAGTTCTCTCTCGTTTATCTGGTCTTCAACATTTGATATAATGGCTGCTTAATTCATTAGCAGAACACACAAAAGGTGGTCATTAGTAAAATATCTGGCTTAGTAACAACAAAAGGTTGTTTATAGATAGGAAGCTTTAACATTTGAGAGCTTATCAGCCGAATTTTTCTGAAAACCTCATTAGTGGATTTGCCATAACAATAGATGACATCCAAAATGGTAGTATTTCCTATTTGTAAGATCAAAACAAGCATAAGATTTGGAATAATAAAATAAATGAAGATAATAGGAACAGAATGAGTGTGCATAACTTCAGGTTCAAGCCAGGAGCTCTTCATTAGGGAATGACCAAGAGCACCAATATAAAGAGATGACCTAAGAAACAATGATGAATTACTAGTCTTGATCAGTGTGTTAAAAAGTCAGTATACTCTATTTCCAGTAGCAGTGGTATACAAGCTTGATTATGGCATTCACAGAAGGCAAATCACAACTGGAAAAGCCTTTACACTAACCAGTGTATTCTAACAAGAAATGCCTAAGGCAGCACAATTTCTTTAGCCTACATAAAGCAGCCACTGAAGAGAGGTATGATAATCTCCTCCTGTGCTTAGAATCTGTGAAGTCTCAAGAGAGAAAACTCATCCCAACAGATACCTTCCCCAAGAGAGGGCTGTTTTGGTACAGCAGCAAACAGGAAAACATTTAGGCTGAGTTAGTGGAATTATCTTTGCAATCAAAAACTATGTTTTAGAATGCATTGCCAAACAAGAGCGTGGGAATAAAGAAGTCTAGAGATTCTAAGGAGGAAGCAAAAAATTCTGAAAGGAATTATATGATATAGCACAGGCAATAGCAAGAGCACGATTCCCACCATCTTTTCAATGCACTGTACGTAAAGCATCCATCTGACACTCCTGATTGATGGCATATCTTTAAAAAGGGTACGTGACAAAATGGGCAATGAGAGTGCAAGAAACCAGTTATTGGCACTTGGGCTGCTGCGTAAGTTACTGCATGAAGAACACAATTCCTGGGTACTGCAGTCATGAACTAAGCCTTTACGTTTGAGCAAGCGTTTTTATTTTCAAATGACTTCTAGTGCAAATATGACCTTTATATTTATGAGGAAAACTGTCCTTCCAAATAATAATTATTAGTTTAAAATATTTATCAAGAGAAAAATATATTAGGAAGGTGTACAATCAG